TATTTCTCTTCTGTTCAGCGTGTTCTTGATTTCAGCGAGCGACTTGCTTTTCAGACATTGGGGTGGATGGGATAAGGTAAGGGCGGACGAAAGAGAGAGGGCGGTAAGTGGGGAAGGATCCGAAGCTTCGCCGATGGAAAGCTCAAAGTGAGCTGGGAGGAGATATTCAGGGACACGGAGGTTTCTGCAAAGACGACGACGGCCATGGTATGTCCCAAATTTTCATAGCTGACTTGCCTTAGTTCTTCGAGAGCGAACCAGGCGCCCCCCTCGATGCCTACCAGCGACTACTCTGTGGTGGTCTTGCTGGTATCACCTCCGTCACGTTCACCTACCCACTCGATATCGTCCGAACACGCCTATCCATCCAGTCCGCATCGTTCTCCGATCTGAAGAAGGAGGCCGGCCAGAAGCTACCGGGCATGTGGCAACTGCTTACAACCATGTACAAGACCGAGGGCGGTACCCCGGCGCTATACCGTGGCATCCTTCCCACAGTGGCTGGTGTCGCACCGTATGTCGGCCTCAACTTCATGGTGTACGAGATCGCCCGTACCAAGTTTACACGCGAGGGTCAGAAAGACCCGGGTGCCATCGGCAAATTAGGAGCGGGTGCCGTCTCCGGTGCTGTCGCGCAGACCATCACATACCCATTCGATGTCCTGCGGCGGAGATTCCAGATCAACACCATGAGCGGTATGGGATACCAGTACGCAGGAATCGGCGACGCCATCAAGCAGATCATCAAGACAGAAGGCTTCCGGGGTCTGTACAAGGGTATTGTGCCCAACCTTCTCAAGGTGGCGCCTAGTATGGCTAGCAGTTGGCTCAGCTTCGAGATGACACGAGACCTGCTCATGGGCAAGTGGAACTCGGGCTTCTTGTAGGACAGACAGTCCCAACTTCGCCATCGTCGAAACGAACTACAACAGAAGAAATCGACAAGAAACTTCACATTACGAGCGCTCTTCCGACGGGAAGAAGCATACACGAAACCGTCCACCGACAGCAGGTGGCATTGTATAACGTCAACGAAAGCGATTGATACAACACACGAGCATTGCATTTGGGAAGGATCAGCACGGCCTGGGGGTCTGATTTGGGAACGTCCTCCCATGGATAACAGCGAAGGCGTTTGACTGGGTTTTAGTCCTTGCAAGTTGCACAGCTTTACATGCAACTTTTCCTTCTTCCTCTTCTTTAGAGTTGGAAAAGAACGAGCGGTCATGCATCATACATAGAAGTATATTCGAGTCTGCGAAGCGGACATGATTTGGCATGGCTTGTACAATACAGATAGTTTCATGCTTTCCACTGGGAAACTGGGGATAATGGAACTGCTTTATATCAATGATGGTGCTTGACGTGTACACGAGTGATTGTGTTTCGCCAAGTCCAGCACGTCATTCCCTATCCTCATCCCTCATGCGTGAGTAGAACAAAAGCACATATCGTCACTGACCCTCTCCCTTCCACCGCACAACTAATCATCCCCTTTCAAAGCCCATCATCCAAGCGCTTCACCACAACCTCTCTCACGTTCAGGACATGTGCTTTTCTCCCGTCAGTACCGCTCTACATTGTCTTTTCATATTGGAATGGAGATACTTACATCCCCTTGCACCCATGACAAAAGCAATAAGAGTGTTCACACTGCTCGTCGCGACAGTATTCCCAGCTCTTCTTTCCTTTCTGATATTGATGCTTGTGTGAGTCTTCGTACGTGGGAGAGGGGGGGTTGAAGTACGTTGTGACATGTGTTCAGCTTGTCGATGCATATGTTGCATCGTTTTTTGGCTGCTGTGGTGATGGATGTTGGTGTTGAATCTCGGTCTTTGTTGGTCATGGAGCGGGAGGGGAGGATTGATAGTGTTGTAGGGGAGATCTGGTTAAGGGCTGTGGTCGCGGTGACTAGGACGAGGAGGCAGGCTAGTTTAGCGGCGGGTTGGATAGGGAAGTGCATGATGTTGGTTTTGGTGATTGCTGAAGTTTCAAGGTTTGGTGGAATACTCAGAGGCTTCTGGGGTAAAAACAGGGTATGGAATTAGCCAAATACTATTTCTACGTGTTCAGTAGGTGTCGTACAAACTAATCAGAGAGCTACTGGGCTAGAAGCGTTTGGCCAGAAGCATTGACAGTCTTTGAGTGTTTGTAAATGACCCGGCTGGAGAGTGATTAGAGTAAGGTGTCACATGTAAAACTTACACACGTGAATAGTTGAACTAGTGTGACATTTGAGATGGTCTACAGGGAGATCAACCCCAAGACCTTTACTCCGAATGCAAGGGAAAATGTTACAGTATTTACAAAGACCCTCTATAGCTCGCCGTCCTTCCGCAGAGTCTCGTTACCCCAGGGCTCGCTTGTCAAGCAAGTCAATCCAGCAGCCGGCTCGCAGCTCTTCCTTCCACTCAATGGTCCTGGTGATGGCAGCTTGAGACCGCCAGCCGCGTATTGGCGTCCCTGCTCGTTGGCGAGAGCTTCACCAGCACCGGCCTCTACGTTCAGCGATCCCTTGCCCGATGCCAGACCCTTGCCTCCAGGCTGCGCACCGGTAGATTGTTCGGCGGCCTTGAGGGCCTTGAGCAGGTTGACTGTCGAGCCGTATGTGAGATCCTCGTAGTAGTCGTCGTTGATCTGGACCATGGGCGCGTTCGCACATGCACCAAGGCATTCTACCTCGGAGAATGTGAAGAGGCCGTCTGCGGTGGTCTCGCCGTGGTGTACGCCCAATACGTCTTCGCAAGCCTTCATAACCGAGTCACTGTCGCAAAGCATGCATGGGGTCTTCATTCTGTCAGCAGCTGCCCTCAATGCCAAGTATGGTGTCTACTCACAGTTGTGCAGACCTGGACGTGGAACTTGCCCACGGGGTCCCGGTTGTACATGGTGTAGAAAGTCGCAACTTCGTATACACGCATTGGTGGCATCTCCAGTATCCGCGCAACCTCGTTCATGACGCTGATGCTGCAGAATCCGTGCTGGCGTTGTCCGAGGTCGAGGAGCGGCATGACGGCGGCCTTCTTGTATTGGGAGGGGTATCGGGAGACGATCTCTTGGATGAGTTCCTCATTTTGTGGTGTAAATTTGAAGGGAATTTTGAGGTTGTTTTGAGGCGTGTCGCGGTGCTACAGGCGGATTAGCTCGGCTTCCAGCGCAAGATGAATGAATTACATACAACGTTGAGCGAGCCGCTCTCGTTCCATGACGGTCGCGAAACGCTGAAAGCCCGCCATTGAGCCCTCTGGAACTGTCGCGAGGCGCGTGGGGCAATCCTGCATGCGAGGGGGACGAGTCTTGAGGCCATGGTGGGTTGTGCTGCGGGCTGGAGGCGATGGCGTCGATTGAAGATGTCAACGATGAAGCTCATCCGAAGCGCCAAGTAAATGTGCAGGGGTCATTGCAATCAGCCGCCTCTGATTGGCCGCGCCCAACATCTCCACTCCGTTGTACCTTCGACGCTTCCTCACTGCTTCTCCGCATGGTTCAGGTCATCCCAAGCATCGCTTCGTGTTGCGTGATCGATGGCATTACCTGATCGCCGTTCTCCCGTAGCTACATGGATCCACGACTTCGCTGCTTGAAACACATTACCGCCTTTGCTGCAGCGAGCCATGCCCAGTACAGTCGAGGCCGCCACGTAGCTATCCCCACCGACACCGTCCTCGTGCGTTTCGTCGCTGCTGCGCACTGCGGAAGCTTCATTTTTCTCTGGCATCCGCGGCAGTCTAGCCTGCGGATTCCTTTGTTGGCAACGTCCCGTATTAGTTTCTGCGCAAAAAATGGCTCGGTACAGAGCCGCATCGATGCTCGTAGAATGCGCCTACGGCGGTCAACCACGTCTGATGGAACTGTGGGTCTGCTAACACACACGCTGGGGGCACCTCGCGACATTGCATCCTTAGGAGTAGCAGTCGGTGGACTGAGAGACGCATAGGATTCTTCCCTCTGTGCCGTCGTAGGTGGAAAGATACCCTAGCCATTGTGTCTGGCCAATCGGCCGCTGTTCGCCTCATTGACGGCGCTCTGCGCGGACGCAGGCTGGCTTGCCGTTTGATGAGTTGTACTAATGTTTGCACTGTCAATTCGGTATCTTCACAGGCTTACAACACCGGCCGCTTCTTCCAGCCATGTTTCAGAGTCATATGATGCAACTACGTGTACGTGTACATCACTCATGCAGCACTTCACTAGTATACGGGGCGGTCAACATCTGCGCCATATAAGTATCTATTACTGCTATCATAGCACTTCCTGATCTCCTTCCACATCCCTTCGCTCTACCCCACTACTACACTGCCGACCTGCACTCGCGTTCGTCTCGTGGCTCACCCACACATTCGCCCAGCATGTGCAAGTACACAATCACGATACTTGAATGCGGTCACAAAATCGATGATTATGTCGAATCTCGCGACTGCCCCTACTACCAAAGGACCACCGTACAGTGTGACCGTGACAACCCGAGGTCCAAAGATCGCTGCACCGTAAAAACCAGAGACCAAAACGGAATTTGCAATAGATGTCTCCGCGACAACGAAGAAGCCGCCATGCGCCGCGACTTGGAAAAAGAAAGAGAACACAAACGCCGAGAAAACGAAGAAGCCGCAGAAGCATTCCGCCGTGGGCAGGAAGAACTTAAAGAGAAGAACCGCCGGGAGGCGGAAGAAAGACGACGGGCTCAGCAAAAAGCCGACGAAGAAGCCAGGGACAGAGCCCGCCGGGAAGCGGACAGGAAGCAGCGAGCTGAGGAAGAAGCCAGGGAAAGAAGTCGCAGGGAAGTCGAAGAAAAACGCCGAGCGGATCAGAGAGCCGAAGAAGAAGCTACGGAGAAACGCCGCCGGGAAGAAGAACAACGACGTCGGGCGAAACAAAAAGCCGACGAAGAAGCCAGGGACAAAGCCCGCCGGGAAGCGGACAGAAAGCAGCGAGATGAAGAAGAGGCCATGGAGAAGCGCCGCCGGGAAGTGGAGCAAAGGCGACGGGACAAGGAGGAAGCTATGGAGAGAGACCTCAGGGAGGCGGAAGAAAGGCGGCGGCAGGCCAAGAAAGAAGCCGATGAAGAAGCCATTGCGAGAAGACGACGGGACCACGAGAGAAAGATGGCTGAAGATGAGCAGGAGTTGCTAAGAAAGATGGCAGAGGATGAGGAAGCTCTTGAGCGACGCAAGAGGGCATATGAGAAGAGAATAGCAGAAGAGGAAGAAATCGAGAGACAGCGCAAGGCGGAGCTCGACCGACTAGCCAAAGAACAACGCGATCTGGATTTGATGATCCAAAAGTCCAGAGAAGAAGCAGATAGGAAGAAGAGAGAGGAGGAGGAAGAGGCGCAGCGAGCTCTGAGGGAGCAGGAGAGATGGGAGCAGGAAAGGAAGTACCGAGAGGAACTAGTAAGTCCAAGTCCTATACCATCTCAACATCAGTTGACTAACCTCACACCCACAGCTCCGATCAAGAACCGCCGCACCACCATCCCCACCCGCCACACCACCCGCGCCCCCAGCCCCCGCCCCCAAACC